GGCGCTTCTGAAACGCCGGTGTGGGAGGCGGCGCCTGGGAATGCCGCGGGTGGCCCAGAAAACCAACCGCCGGACCGCCCACCCAGAGCCGGCTCTCTGGAGAAGCTCCAGCGCCGGGAAAGGGGGAAGGAAGGAGGCGGACTCGGCCCCGGCGCCGATGGAGGCCACTGGAGGAGCCGAAAACCTGCGTGGTCACTACCGGTTGACGACGGCTTGAGGGGACGCAATTTTCCACACGGCTTCGTCTTGCTATTTTGGGGTCATCCGCTCAGCCTCCATCCTCCCAACGCGAGCGGGCGCTGGGTGAAGTCCACTGAAATCCTCTAAAAAAGTTTCCCCAAACTGGAGGGAAGGACGATGGTTTGAGGCACCAGGAACCTGCAGACCCTCAGAACGGCTTCTGCATAAAGCTGGGGACCCCAATAAACACAAGCCAAGTAACGTGTGAAAAGTGCTCCAGAGCGCAAAATATTTTATTTAAGAATGTACAGTGTCAATTCTAACATTTAGGACAGAGAGCGGCTCTCTGGGTGGAGGAAACCTGGAAGTGAAAAATGCTCGGCGGCGGTTGACGTGGAGAAACTCGGGAGAGCCAGAGGTCTAAAGGGACAAACCAGACATTCAGGACGACTGGATGAGAGGCCACCAGCTGTTGAGACAAGTTCTGCCTCTTTTACAACTCTTCACCCACAACAATCCTTGGAAATGTGTTTAAGGTTCTCCAGAACCCAGATATAGAGAATTAAGCCACGGAGAGTGGAGCATCCATGTTAAAAAAAATACCCTCTGCATTCCTTGAACTCGTACTGATCTTGTGAACTGGCTTTATCAACCACTGCACCAACATTTAGTTCCCTCCTGTCACTGTTCAGGCTTGTTACAAATGTTAGCAAAACCTTTGGATAGTTTTGGGGATTTCCTGCAACTCCACCTAAGCCTATTTCACATCTCCGTTGGAGAGGCTTGCTAATTCAGTTAGTAAAGAAGTGATAGTCAGCTAATTATGAGCTCAGCCAATTGGTAATGGAGGAAGTCTGAGACGGAAGAATGAAAACTTCCACACTACGCTTAAAAAATAAAACACTAAGCCCTTTTGAGCTGTTATGGTATTATCTGAGGGATCTGAGTTTCAGAAAGGAGCCATATTGCACTTCAAGAGGAATTATCAGAAAGAGAACAATGCGAAATGCTGTACAAAGAGCTTCTGCTTTGACTCTACAGTTCGCTTTACAAGGAGCCTAAGACGCAAATTACATACACACTAAAGAAAATCCACTTCCAATTAAAACTTAGATTACAGGTCACAGTTTTGTTTTTCCTTTCCCCCATTCATTATACATCTGTCTGCTTATTTGGATCAGCTACAATTCCCTCCCCAAAGGTTGGGGGTGAGGGAAGGTCGATAGGAGAAGAAAATCCCCGCCAATTCTTTTAATGTGCCAGATAAGCAATAAACCCAAGTAGTGGTTTATATGCATAAAAACTATGCCCCAATCCCTGTAAGGCCACAAACTGTAATGTTAAAAGGTGACACGGGAGAAGTCCATCATAGATGGAGTAGCTGGATTTTAGTAAAGCCAAGGGGGAAAAGACAGCCCCCTGGCCTTCGGTTTGTCTCCTATTTCAGACAGCCACAACTGCATTCCTGTAGGTTGATCACTCCCTCTGAAGTTTGACCACTCCAGCCAGCTTTTAGGTAACCAGGAGCATTTGGTAATCAACGTCACCCAGTTTCCACGGAGAAGCCACCCAAATTGATTCTCAATTTGAGAAAGGGCACTGGTACCCCATGGCATCTTTTGGGAATCCATGTGCAATGGCCCAGTTGAGAGACTGAATGGATGCTATTTTAAGGTGGGGTATTTTCTCTGCCCAATTCTGCCAAGTCGTGAGCTAGCTGGAACTGCAGCAGACTGAAAAGACAAGAAGACATTTTTCCATCAATTTCCTAATTGCACAGCCTGAAACAAAAAACCCTGCAAACACAACTTCTATTGTCTGAAATATACAGAAATGCTTCCTTTAGGTTACATTTAACACAAAGCAAAGGTAATCCAAATTCTGTTCCGAACCAAATTCCAATTCTCAAAGCTCAGAGGCAAGAATATTCCCAGCAAGTCCATGGCTGAAGCAAGATTTTTTTGCCTCCAAAGCCACCCAAAGGATTTAATACAAGTTGGAGCACATCCTTGCTCATTATGCAAAGCATTGCGGGGGTGGGGCGGGGGTGTCTATGCAAAGCCAGTTTTGCGGCACTCCCATTTGAGGGGCCTTGTTGATAGGAGGAAGAATGCTGTACCTGTGCAAACTGAGAAGGATTGTAGAACTGGACAGTGCCAGTCGGGGGATCTCCAGAAGATGCCTAAACAAAGCAAGGAGACAGTTTTCCATTACTTGAGATGCTAGAAAGTCAGACTGGCTTGCCTTGTATGCTTGACAGACAGGGCTTCCACAATACTGCAGCAGAGTATTACACACAAATGCCAAAACAGAAAGGACAACCCACCTGCCCCCAACTCTCAGGGAAGCTTCCATGTTACCACCAGAGCAGCAGTGCAGGCTGTCACAGAACAAAGGCACATGCACGAACCTGAAAAGGCTCATTTGGGACAGAGGGGGAGCGTCACTGTAGACATGCAAGAGGAGCAGCAAAACGGTTAGCTGTGCCAAATGCTTGAAGAACGCCCCACTGGTTGGGGGAGCAAGCCACGAGGCTGCCTGGAGGGCCATGTGGGGTGTATCCCCCCTCATTGCTTCCAAGGGAGCCCCAAAGATGGATGTGTACAAAGATGAAGCACTTGGTTCCTTCTGACAGGACCTAGGAGAGAGGCCTGTGATTCTAGGTAGTCCAAGGCTCCAGAAGGGACCTGCTTGGAGGGCTTCAGAGAGCTTCCGTCCATTTAGATTCATAAATCCCATAAATCAAGCTGAGGCCGAGCACTTCTGACTGGCCTCTGAACGCCTGCTGGAACAGCCGTCTTAAAATGCTGGTCATTTTCTCACAGCATCAAGGGTGTTCCCCAACCAGGTCTATCTCTGTCTGAGTATGCGTCTAGGTGAAGGAGGAGAAGAATGTTGCAAAGCAGAATAACTTATCCTTTGGAAAAGGCATGATCTACATTCAGCAAAACATTACTTTTTATACAGATTTCAAAGGGGAGCACAAAGTTTTCACCGAGCATTTTCCAACAAAAATTTGGGCTCTGCTATTGGGCCTTTTATGCTGTTGAAACCACATTATTTGCAACTTTTTCCATTCTGGTGGTTTTATTCATTCAAACAATAGAACAGTTGTGAACTTTTGTGTTGTATTTATCTTATGCTTTCACTATAAAATACTTGTCTTGAGTATTTTGAACAAAACATAATTTTAAACAGAGTGGGTAATTTGTAAGGCACAAGTGGCCCCTGGAGCCCTTTTCTGCAACCTCCCCCATCTCCCTGCTGACAGAGGTGCTGTTTCTTGCCAACACTCAGATTAAAAAATGACACAGTAGGCTTCACACGTCTAAAACACCCCGCAAATCCAATTCCCTCCAAAGCAGCCCCATAAATTCCAGCCCCGCACACTTCCATGGCATCACAGCAGTGCCAGACTCGCTGTGCCAAAAAAACAGCCCTCCAGAAACGCTGCAGGCGCACAGCCTCTGAAAGGGCACCCATTCTGGCCCAAAGAAGCAAGTTCATATTTTAGGAGAATTAATAGTTATTATGCTATTTTGGATTCTCACAGGCCTAACATTTAAAGACTTGCCCTTCTCTAATTATGGTGGAGTGGGGTAGCCTCCGGGTGGGGAACCTCTACAGCCCCCTCCCTGAGTGGGTAGGGGCAGAACCTTTCTTTTTCTTGGAGTGAGGTTTAAGGAGTGAGATAAAAGCTTCAAGGCACCTATTTCACACCTCCCTAATCAAAAAAGTGAACATTTCAACCCAGATCCCTCCAGAGATGTCACAGGGTCATTGGCCCTACCTCCTGTGGCTCCTAAGACCAATTTCTCACCTCGTCCTGTGGCATTTAAAGTAGTAAAATGTGCTCACGGGCTCACACACAGCACACTTAAACCAGAGTCATGCTATCCAAAGCCAATGAGCCATATTCTGGTTTAATCCAATGGCCTGGTTCACATAACGCATAAAGGCAACGGCTTCGTTTACACCGAACCACATCCTGATTAAGCATTTTGTTTCTTCAACCTCTACTGTTTTTTAGTTGCTATCTAGTTCCAGACTGGCTGAACAAAATCCCTGCCCGAAGCCTTTTTTTGGCCAGGGACTAAGAACCCTGCACTGTGGAAAAACAATCGTGTTTCCCCAGCCAAGGAGGAGTGACTCAAAAAGAGGCAGGGATGGCTATGTGAGTCTACTCAGTTTCCCTGAGGACCTGCTTTGAGGGCCAGAAGGCTTCATCTTTATGGTGACAGGTTAGTTTGATGAAATGCAAGTTGGAGAAGATGCATGGAGGCAGAATTAGAACAAGATATGATGGGAGAGTGGGAAAAGGAGCAGGAAAATTGAAGAGGAGGACGGCCAGCCCAAGGTACCTGATTTAAATGCTGGCTGACTTCACGGGATAATGAACTCATTGAACTAGAGCGCGAAAGCTACAAAACAGCAAAGACACACAACACACAAAAAAGGAATCAAAGTCACCATGCAAGTCGCTGCCTGCAACTCTCTGCTATGCTTGTTCATATCAAAGGGGGAGGAGGGAAGGGTCCCAGGGCCAAAGGTTAAATGATACGAATCGCTAAATGCAAGTTAGCTGTTGTTTTTTTTAAGGCACTTTCTGGGTTATCAACATCTCAGATGCAACCAGTCAAGGCCTTGGGTTGGATTTGTAACAGTCTAGCATTTTCGTGGCATTTAACATAAGTCAAACTCATGCACAAAAAAATGTTAAGCAGAGGAATGAAAGTTACTGGGCACGACAGACTTCCTCAGAAGAGGCAAACGTATCTTTGGTTAAGATTTCCCAGATACAAATTGCGAGGCCAAACCTGGTGACTTCCCATTATTGTCCAGTTACCTCCTTCAGGTTCCACTCTTCCTGCTTCCAACCACAATTAGCCCCTGAGCTTGTTACCTGCTATTCTCTGCTGCAAAGTTGGGCCTAGAATGATCTGGCACGTGCCCCACAGGCTCTGAGTAGCTAACCTGACAAGGCACGCCTACCTCTCCAGACTGGGCGTCCCCCGGATTAGACGCAGGAAGCTCGGTGCCAGGTGGAAATGCGGTAGAATTTAAATACTGAAAGACAAAAGAAGGAAGCCATAAACAGCCTGAGCCGTGGAAATGCAGTGAAGACCCAAGGGAATCCAGTTTCAATTATCAATTAGCACAAGCACAAGCATTTTATAAAATCCAAAATACCCAAGTTTTTGTTAAAGGTCTCCATCAAGGGGAGAGGTAAGAGAGGAATCAGTGCAATAATTAACACTTATATATTCCTTTTTACTCACATACCCTTCACCCCTTTTTGCCGTTCTCTTTGCTGTTCAACCCACTGCCCGCCGGCAACACTCTTTCATTCTCATCCGCCACCCAAATTCTTAGCCACTGGGACTTCTAAGAGAGTGAGTGGGGCCTTTTCAGCCAGCTGCTGCATTCAAAGGCTCTGGGGCCACAGTCTCTAAAAGGCAAGAGCATTTGCAACTCCAACTTACTGGAACTTCTCTGGCCGACTCAGGGATGGCGTTGTTCCCTGGTGCCGCCTGATCTTGTGCAACTCCGCCCTCCGGCAGCGTCTGCTCTTCAGGAACTGTATGAAGAGGGCACAGGTTTCACAAAAAGAACACGCTCTCCATCCCTTCTGTTATGGGCATCTGCATAGCATTTCAATGGAGAAGTCGCCAAGGCTGAAGAGGGCAACCTCCACCATGGCGGCCTCCAGCTGGCTTAGGGGAAACTAGTGTTTTCAAGTTAAAGATGTTCCTGTTATTTTGAATTGTATTCCAAAATTGTGGAATCTGATTGGTTTTGAGGACTATTGGTTATTTCAGACATACAGAACAGAATTATACAGAAAGACTGGAAATGTATTATTACCCTGGATATCAAAGATTGGGTTCAAGAAATGTTGTAATCCATTTTCAAAAGGCATTTTTCTACTAATCAAAATCTGACACACTATGTTCTTTTTGGCATAGATTTCATATTATTTTATAAGAATAGGCAATTTTTACACACAATTTGGTTCATTGTTATGACATGATTAAATGAATATGTGATACATTTAGGTGATTTTTATGAATTTAATATGTTAATTTTAGGGTTCTTTTCTGTTTAATATCTTAATTCTTTCTTTTTGTTGGTTACAATTTCATAACAAATTAACTTGTTGGATATAGCTGTTTTTAAATTTCGTTTTTGTATATTTCTCTTTTAAAAGTTGCAATATTTTTTAAACAAATTGATGTCTAAGAAGTCTAAAAGGCAGACTGCTCACAGAGCTGGAGAGAAATAGGCTGGGAAAAACCCAGAATTGTGTATCTCTCAAGAATAGCCTTTTGGCTTACACTCACCAAGAGCTGCTCTTTGCTTTTACTGGTGGTTACTACACAACTATCGCTGGTCAGAATCCTTTGAAACATATTTTTCTTCAGCAAGAAAAAATGGCCATGTTGTTTAAGCATTACACCAAGTGTTCAGAAAATTGAGAATTCAAAAAGAGCCACTGTTTTCACAAATAATCTAAACAGAATATTTATAATATGTATCTAAGCTATTCAGTAAGAGGCAGTTTATCTAAAACCTGTGCCAATTCATTAAATTTCAATCTTATCTTTTCCGCACAATGGCTGTGCAACTAATATCAACCAAAAGCTCCCCCCCCCTTCTTAGAAAGGGAAGCAGAAGAAGCAACAGCCAGGAAGGAAGGGAGGCAGCGCGGCTCTTGCCTGCCACCTTCTCACCTGCCTTTAATACTCACCTGAGTTGGGTACAAACAAGTTTCCGGGGATGGGCATCGGGGCCAAGGGAGCAAAAAGGTCGGCAGGAGCCGGAGCAGCAACGGGGGACTTGGCTTTGCTTGTGTTCAGGATGTCCACGTAGCGAGCTTTACTTCCCGCTGCGAAGAGGCAAGGAGGGGAAAAAGGCTTATTCCAGAGACTGAGAAGCAGAGGAGGAACAAGGGCACAGCTTCCCAGTTGCTTGCAGTCAGGACGGCAAGGGCCCCGTCACCTGCTGCTGGGCCAGACCAGGTCACAAAGCTCTCAGGCAGAGCCAGAAAAACAGCTTCTCACTAACAAAACAGGCTAATTAAGACAACGTTTTGCACTGGGTGGCTCTAGAACACGGTTCTGCTTCCCCTCCTTGGCTATTTCCATGTGTGTGGACTTCAACTCCCAGAATTCTCATTAACAGCTGTGCTGGCTGTAGAATTCTGGGATGTGAAGTCCACATACCTGGAAACGGTCAAGGATAGGAATCACTGCCCTAGAACCTCTTTTCCGAATATAAGTTCCTTCTGGGAGGGTTCCTCATGACTTGTGGGGGCGGGGTCACAATCAGCATATGTGGCATTGCTGCATATTTTGGCTGCGTGACCCCCGCCATAAAAATCCATTCCTTTTCCTCCTTAGAACGGACGTAGAGGCACAACCTGATACTAACCAAACAACGATAGA